CAATTTACCCAGAGTCTGTGAGACCTGGAGAGTTTTTCTGAAGAATAATGGACAGTTTAACTGCTCAGGACAAATAAGGGACTGAATTACATATTAGAGTAAAATTTTAATTGAAATGTCCATTTAGGAATCAGAAACAATACACACCCTTTGAAGTTGAAATAGAAGACTGTATTGATTTTAAATTAATTTATTAAAGGTTTGAATGTCAAACTCAGCCAAAACTACTGCAGTATCTTCCTCTAGGGGTCAGTAATACTGGAGACTCTTTGGAAGGTTTCACAAGCTATTCTTGAGTGTCAATAGCGTGACTTCTGCATCTCTTTTGACAACGAAAATAACTGCAAAATGTTCTTTCAGAAATCTGTAACAAGACACGGCCTTTAAAGCTGAGGTACAAGATTGTATTTAGTTGAAACTAAATTATGTATTGGTTTAAATGTCTATAATGTGTGTTCTATTATAGTTCTGTGGCTAAAACCACCATCAAAATGTTCTTCTAGGAATCAGTAACAAGACACACCCTTTGGATTTGAGAAATAAAACTGCATGCATTTTAAACAAATTTATTAGCAGATTTGAATTTAATTCAATAGCATGTATGCTGAATTACAACAAATGCAACATGTTCCTATAGGGGGCAGTGTACTGCGCTATCTGTGAAAGGCTTTGTGAGCTTTTTGCTCAATCCTTACATTTGAATAGCTTTTGCTGTGTTGCAGTTTCGCGAATAAAACCAGCATGTACATGTTGTTCCATGAACCAGTAACATGACACACGCCTTAGAATTGGGACATAGGAGCGTATTTATTAGAAATTAATTGATGTATTTGTTGCCATTTCAATATCGTGCGTTGTGTTATAGTTCTGTGCATAAGACCAGCATGTAAATGTTGTTCTATCAACCAGTAACAAGACACACCCTTTAAAGTTGACATGTCAGACTTTGTGTATTTTTTATTTATTTATTCACATTTTACAATTCAATAGCTATTGTTGTGTTACACTTTTGTGAATAAAACCAACATCTAAATATCATTATAGGACACAGCAGGAGTGCTATCTGTGCCCGAACAGTTACTGCGGCTGCGCCAAGGCATATCTTCCCTGGATGACTACACACTGCGGTTCAGAACGCTGGCGGCGACTAGCGGGTGGAATGAGGTGGCTCTACTTAGTGCTTACCGGCACGGATTGAATCCCCGTTTACAAGCTCAAATGGCTATCTATGATGACTCCGTGGGACTAGAAAGCTTCATGCAAAAATATACATCTAAGTAATATAATACAGTAATTTGGTATAATATCTCCAATACACAGTGACCAAAATTAATGACACCCTTATTTTTTTCAATACTTTTTGCAACCTCAGTTTGCCCAGATAACAAGTATGTTATGACTAGATTATAGATCTGATCAGAGACCATTTTTTAGAATCACTCCAGGCCCTTCAGATTCCCTAAAAGATATTAAGATAATATAGACACATCCTCTTCCAGGCAGATTCGTAACATTTCCTCTTGATTGGAATGTCTTAATTATTGCCATGATGGTGAAAACTGAATTTTTTTGTGATTTCTGAAAGGGTAAACACAGCACATGGTGCTTGACCCATTTTATTTTGACACAGAATTCTCTGACATGATCGTGTCATTATTAATCAACACAATACCACCCTGAAATTACCTTGCACTGTAGAAATATGGTTTTGGCAAGGAATGTACAGTAAATGCAAATTTACATTAAAATGTACAACCAAAAAAAAAAAAATATATATATATGAGTGCTACTATTTGACATTCAATATTTTAGGCTAAATTAGGAGGATAAAAGTTACTTTTATGGATGTTTCTTTACAAACTCCAGGGTTTTTTTTATTTATTTATTATTATTTATTCTGTTGGGGTAAAAAAAAAAAAAAAAAAAAAATATATATATATATATATATGAGTGCTACTATTTGACATTCAATATTTTAGGCTAAATTAGGAGGATAAAAGTTACTTTTATGGATGTTTCTTTACAAACTCCAGGGTTTTTTTTATTTATTTATTATTATTTATTCTGTTGGGGTTGGGGGGGATGGGGGGTGCATGATTGGTCAAAATTTTACTGATCTCTATTAAAATTTGACCATCTGAATCTGAATTTGTATAATGATATTTTAAATGTTAAAATGTTAATTTAAAGGGGTCATATGATCTTGCTAAAAAGAACATTATTTTGTGTATTTGGTGTAATGAAATGTGTTTATGAATGAGCAGAGGCCGGCGGCAAGAGTGAGCAGCGTCCGGCGGGCTTGTGGCAACCACATGTGACGACCCCGGGCTGGACTCCGCTTCGTCCACGG